AAAGCCCCAGACACCTGGTCAAAGCAAGGAGTCAGCCAGTGACCTTGACATGCAACTATGAATCTGGGCACTTGTATGTGTACTGGTACCAACAGATCATGGGAAAGAGTCTCGACTTCCTCGTTTCTTATTACCGTGGACAAGAGAATGAGAAAGGCAGCCTCCCTGTTCACTTCTCAGTCCAACAGTTCAGTGAGGACTCCAGCTCTGAGCTGAGCATGAGCTCCGTGGAAGTGGCCGACTCTGCCCTGTACCTCTGTGCCAGCAGCTCATCACAGCCCTTTCTGCTGAGCTACCACCTGCACAAAAACACCCTGGGCAGCCCAGGAAGTGGCAGTGAAGGGGGAGCCACCATTCAGTCCCCTTGAATGAGGACAGTCACTCTGTGTATGGGGAGGATTCAATGTGTCAGAATCACGCAGGATATGTACTGTTGCACCAGATGTTTAAGTGAATGAAAGTTGCATTCAAGTATCACATTGTTACAAACATCATCATGGATTTGATGAACCCAACAATAGATTGCAGAACCAACTACAGGGTGTTTCCAGCGTGGTACTTTGTACAACCAGATTTTGCGTTTCTGAGTCTCATTCTGCTTACATGTCATGGTAGCTTCTCACTTTTCACAAAGAGAGGATACCTGTGAAATGGGAAACCAGAATTATTCACAGAATCGGTAGCTGCGACTATGTGCTACCACAACTGTCCACTGGGTCATCAGATCCCTCTCACCTACCCCCTGGGATGGGACCCTATTCAGGGACTTAATCAAATGCAAAGAAATTGTGTCTTCAAATGGTGATTGCCAAAGTTTTAGCAGATAGAGACTGGGAAGTCCACTGAAAGTGGAGTAACAATTATAAGATCAATGAAGGAAATCAGTGAAAGATTCTGGAGTAACGGAGTACAAGAATCATAAACATCATTAGGAATCTAGGAGACTTCTCACTTATTCAAGAACTAAAAACATATTCACATGAATAAATCTGTTGAAACAGGAAAGCTGTAACAGATGCAAGAGATATTAGTCACAAAGAGCCTGGCAAGCTACCTGTGACGTATTTGATATGCCAAACACAGTAACAACAAGTCTCATGATGGAGACGTTACTGGGCCCGCTCGAGCAAATCGATGAACAATGGGAGGACGTGACCGTGATTAGTCACAAACACTTGAAAAGAAGGCTGCTAAGTCATGTCATCTAGGAGCCAGTGATATTATATACTAGGTAAGGCTCTTGTCTTGTATTCAATTTACATAGTTTCTATCCCTATAACCACATTTGATCCTCCAAGTATCACCAGGAATGATTTCTGAGTGTAGAGCCATGAAATAAGCCTAAGCACTGCCCACTGTGCTCACAAAACAAAACCCAAGTCATTTTAGAATGCTTTCTTCATTCTAAGAAGTTTGTCATCTTCTTTTTAATTTTCTGAGAAATGGGTCTGGCCTTGTGATGGGGCTTTAGGGCTCAGGAAGGAAGGTAATAGCTGAGAATGAGCCTCTGGGGAGCCCATCCTCTCTCAGCACCACACACACAGCAGACTCTCCTCTCCCTACCCCTGCCATCAGCCCCCCTCCTGTTCTGTGTGACTCTCTGGCTATTGCAGGCAGGTGAGTCCAAGATAAGGTCCGTTCATGGTGACAATGCCTCCGTCCCATGCTCAGCCCTCAGCAGTATCAGAAGCTCCTTCTTTCCACAGGTCTGTGGCAGGCTGGTGTCTCTCAGACCCCCAAATTCCAGCTTCTGAAGACAGACAGAACATGACAAAGATGTGTGCCCAAGAATTGGCACATAGCTATATAGCTAGTACTGGTATCGGCAAGAAGAGGGACAAGAGCTGAAGCTGGTCTATTACTCAGTTGGACCTATAGTCATGAGGGCTGTGTACAGCTCTCTGTATATCTCTAAAGAGAAAACTGAGAGCATCCCCCTCAAGCTGGATTCTGTGTCCTCACAGACATCTTGTACAGGTGCTCCAGAAGTCTGTCCAAAGCACTGCAGGACTGCCTCCTCTCTGCTCACAAACACAGGGCACCCTTTCCCCAAGGGCCCCAGAGAATCTTTGCAGATTGTCAGAATCAAAAGCCTGGAGCCCTGTATTTTTTAAAAATTTTTATTAGTGAAACACCATGAGGTACACTTGTAGACTTAAAAATTTTTGTACTTGGGTTTCAATTATACAATGATCAAATATCCATCCCTCCACCGGTGCCCATTTTCCACAACCACAGATCCCAGTATCCCTCCCACCCCCCATCCCCCCATCCCACCATGCCTCTGTGGCAGGGCATTCCCTTTTGTTCCCTCTCTCCTTTTGGGTGTTATGGTTTGCAAAAGAGACATTGAGTGGCAATCATGTTTGGTTTATAGTCTACTTTCAGCATGCTTCTCCCATCCTGGGAGGATCCTCCCAACATCCTTTATTTGGTGCTCCCTTCTCTATCTGAGCTGCCTTTTCTCCTAGCATGTGTGAGCCCTGCATTTTCAGTCATGCACTGTGAACTCACGTGTGCTGAGGTCCTGTTGGGGAGTCTTAGCCTGACGAGGACCCTACTAGAATTTGGAATGGAGGTGGCTCTGTCTTGGCTTTCTGTCTGCACAGCCGTGGAACTCTCTCCTCTGACTATAAAATAGTCTCTCACTGTATTCTACTCAACCCTTCTCAGAGCCTGCAAAGCCTGTTTCCTCTGACAAAGCAGGGACTGAGTCCAAAGAGACTACTTCCTCTTGCACCTAAGTTGTCCGCAAGTCATCAGCTTCTTGCAGGAGCATTTGCTCACTTCCTGCTCAAGTCTGATAAGACTTCTTGGTGCCTACTACCTGGAGGACCTAAGATTTAGGCTAGTTAAAAGTTTCCATGGTGGTGGGAAATGGGCACTGGTGGAGGGATGGGTATTTGATCATTGTATAATTGAAACCCAGGCACGAAAATTTGTAAGTCTACAACTGTACCTCATGATGTCTCACTAATAAAAATTTAAAAAAAAGTTTCCAGCTAGGTTTCAATTACTGGAGGCGAGGAGGCATGGGGTGGGCACACACAGGGATTCTCAGGGTTTACTCTTGGTGGTGCATGGTGGGCCATGAGGGATCAATCTTGGGTAAGCCACATGCACTGTAAGCATCCTACCCACTGTACTTTCTCATCAACCCCAGCTTTTTGGTTACTTTTCTGAAGAAACGGATTTTAAATTCAAAGAGGGAAACATGGTTCATCCGTTTACTGAGAGGTATTTCTGCCATATATGAGTGTTTATCCTAATGGAACGACAAAGCAAATGAACAAGTGAATGATCAAGAATGAATGGTAAAACTAATTCTAGAAATGTCCCATCTCATTTTCTACTGGATAAGGGGCAGTGCTGGTTGAGAGAAATCAATATCTGCCATAATGACTCCTCTTAGGTGGCTCTTGAAAATGGATGGGAAAGCTATGGCATGGATTCCAAAGGCATTTCAACGTTTCCTTCATGACTATGATAATCCACTTGTCTTTTCCCTCATCTGGCTTCTTCTGCACAGTTGGCCTAATTAGAATACAATGACATTTCCACAATTTTCTCCTCAGTATTATGTTTTCACAAAAAAGACTATATTATAAAATAATAGATGTCTGATTAATAACAATCCAGGGGGTATGACATCATCAAAAGGTCAACCTGTACCTGCGGGACGAGTGCATCAGCAGCTTGATGGCCTTCAGGCTTCATGATACCCCCAAATTGCTGATGTGCCTTTGGCCGGATCCCAACAACTTGGGACCAAGTTTACCAAGAAATTAAGCTCCCAAAAGTTAGGTATGTGGGAGCCAAACCCAATCCAAAATCTATCCATATAAGATTATGAGAGGTTTTATTTGTTTGTTTATTTTTTGATCTGCCTGAGTGTTTTGGTTTCTTTCATCCATGGTTGCATAGATAGGAATTTCAATGGTGTCGCAACTATTTCTTTCTTAACAAATCATTTCAATCACTTGCATCTATTCCTTAAGATTGTATTGGAAGAACAGACTTAAAAAACCCAGGCTAGTATCTGAGGAAGTGGGTGTGCGGAGGTATGAGGTATGACAGGGGTAAGTGTGTGTTGCAGGGCAGAGGTTTGAAGGGAAAGTCTGACCTGTGCTTAGATAGTGAATGTGAGCTGTGAGTCACATACGTACAACAAGGTGCCCTATAAGAGTCAGCGAAAGACCACTCCAGAGAATGTGGGAAACTGGAAGACATTGAGGGCATTGGAGGCTGTGAAGAAAGGTGGTGATGGATTGCATACAGAGAGCCTCCAACCACAGAGTGAGACAGCCAGCACAGAACAGTTACTTCTATGCAAAACCCTTTGTTCTTTATAACGTTGTCAGTCTAAATGCAAATTAGCTTGTGTAGACCATTGCAGAGTGGACCCTTTGTTCAGGGCCCAGAGTTTCCAGGATAGCCTAAACTCTTGCCTTTACAAATAGACTCCTTTTTCTTCCACCAACCTTGGCCTCCAATCTTGACTCCTTGAACTTTTTGCAAGGCACCCTACGGGAGTCAGAGAGAGGACAGTTAGGATAGGAAGAGCTTTCACTGTTTCTGTGGGCAAATTGTTTAACTTTGTTGAGTAAATCCATATATATATATCACTATTATGATCTGGATAAGATAGACGATCTGGAGATTTATTCTGCAAAAAAAGGCCATGTTAATAAGCTCAGAGGAAACTTAGGGGGGAGGAAAGTTGGACAGATAAGACTGGAGAATTTGGCTCAAGAGGTGTAGTCAGAGTAAAATAAATGTGAGAACCATGTTCAGTACCTGCCCATTTTTTGTGGTGGGATTATTGAGGTCTCACAGAGAATATCCCACCAACCTCAGCATGGGCTAGACAGCCCACAGGCATGGGCTCATCACACACCAACATCACACAGTGACATCACAGCAGAAGCTCCTATCAGCACCAGGAGGACAGAGCTTGGAGCTTGCCCTGCCCTAGGTGCTGCCTGGGCCCTGAGGCTGCCATGGGCTCAAGGTTCCTCTGCTGGGTGGCCCTTGGTCTGCTGGGAGCAGGTGAGTCCTGGGCACAGGGGGGTGGGGGCCTGGGCTGTGCTTTGCCAGGCCTGGGAACCCCCTGCCCACCAGGAGGGCTGCAGCAGGAGGCACCCCTGTGTCTGCCTCAGCCTTTCTCTCTGCTCCTCAACAGGCCCTGCGGAATCTGAGGTCACTCAAAGTCCTAGACACCTGGTCAAAGCAAGGAGTCAGCCAGTGATCCTGAGATGCTCCTATAAATCTGGACACAACTCAGTGTTCTGGTACCAACAGGCCCTGGACCAGGGCCCCAAGTTCCTCATTCAGTATTACAATGAAGAAGAGAGAGAAAAAGGAGACATCCCTGGTCGCTTCTCAGTCCAACAGTTCAAGAAGGACTCCAGCTCTGAGCTGAGCATAAGCTCTGTGGAAGTGACTGACTCTGCCCTGTACCTCTGTGCTAGCAGCCTCACAGCCCTGCATGCTCAGCTGCTTCCTGCACAAAAACACCCCTGGCCACCCAGGAAGTGGAAGCGAGATGAAGAGATCCCAGCCAGTCACTCGCAGCCTATACAGAGAAAAGTCTCTCTGTGTTATCTTACTAGGAGTATTACCTGAGTCAAATACTGGAGAAAAGGACGAAGGTCTCAATCACATTGTTTTTCTCCAAACCTGTGTTCCCTTCACCTTGCATCATAGTCAGACCCTACTCTTCCTTTTTCTAGAGCCAAAGTGGGACTGGAAATATTATACCTCTCGCACGGTATCCCAGCTCTGTTCCTGACATTAAGAAGCATACAACTCAAAGCAAAGGACATCCACTGATGGCCTTAATTACGGCATGTAGTTCCCGCACTCCCATCACATGAGCCTGGCCAGTGTCCACCCATGAAAGAGGCTACTTGGCTTACTTCAGTTGTGCTTTCTCAACCAACAACTGAGAAAAGAACAAACAAAACAATAACAAAATTGCATAAAAAGGTGCTCGATTTGCACATTATATAATAACCAGAAAGAAAAGGAACATAAAGAATCATTAACATTTTAGTCATGAAACATTTCTGTTCACACAATTTTTTTTCTAATAAAATGGAACAAGGCCTGAGAGTGGGTTGAAGGAGCTAATCTTTGAGGGCATATCCATGAGTCTGTGCGCTGTCAGTCACCAGGAGGCACTGTGCACCCACTTACTGCCAGTCACCCTAGAGGGAGACAGGCTGTGGGAAGGGAAGTCCTTCACATCTTCTCACTGGTAGGGGCGGTTTGAGTCAATGCTGGTGTCAAAGGGTGACTTTGAAGCAGCAGAGCCCAGATTATAAGGAGGATACTACCTCTGCTTTTATTATGGGAATGGATTCATGCTCCACAGTCATGCAGGGAAAGTATTGCTTTACCATGGGTTTGAATGAATCTAAAGGAGTTACCAGCCTACTTTCATGTTCCAATGCTGGAGCAACACGGACTCAAACACTGTTCCTCCATCCCGGTTCCCCCTTGGCCCACCATGGACATGAACATCACAGATCTTAGTGATTTTCCTAATTGCTTTTCGTGATATCTTCCCACCTCTTTGCACCTGAGTCAGCACATCCTCTGCTCCTGCTGCAGTGCACAGCATCCCTCCTCCTAAAATAGAGCAGACTGGAAGAACTATGAGTTCTCACATGGTGATCTCCAGTGTTTGAGGCTCAGCAGGTGGATGGATACCCAGGAGGAAATTTATAGCAGGTGCAGGGACAATTTCAACCCCATGGTCAGTAACCAAGTCAGAAGAGGACTCGAGACCTGGGATGCAGGAGTCAGGGCATCGGGAGCACATACGCTTCTTAGTACACTGAACATTCGACACATGTTTGCTTGAATAAATATGAAGCATTATGAAAATGACACCATGTGATTGAAATATCTAAGTCAAAAATTGGCAAAGAAAATGACAAGGCATCTTAATTCAGACAATATATGACAATGTATTCTTCATTGAAAGCAGCACATTTGCGCATGAATTTTCACTTTCCCTGAGCAAAGGCGGGGCCTTGGCACAGGGGCTGGGGAGGGTGAGCCCAGACAGGAAGGTGACACCTCATGATGTGTCCATAAGGAGACCATCCCCTCTCACCACCACACACACAGCAGACACTGCTCCTCTCCCCTGTCCCTGCCATGAGCGATCCTCTTCTGTCCTGTGTGATCCTCTGGCTACTTCAGGCAGGTGAGATCTGGGTAAGGTTCCTTCATGGTGACATTGTCCCTGTCCCATGCTCAGCCTTCTTCTGCTGAGTCTGTAGTATTGACTTCTTCTTCTACAGGTCTGGGACAGTCTGGTGTCACTCAGACCCCCATATTCCAGCTCATAATGAAAGGACAGAGTGTGACATTGATGTGTGCCCAGGATATGAAGCATGACTACATGTACTGGTACAGACAAGATGAGGGACAAGGCCTAAAGCTGATCTATTACTCCATCGGAGCTAAAAGCATGGAGAAAGGAGAAGTGGCAGATGGGTACAGCGTCACTAGAGAGAAGACCGAGAGCTTTTCCCTCACGCTGGAGTCGGCTGTGCCCTCCCAGACATCTGTGTACTGGTGCGCCAGCAGTCAGTCCACAGCGCTGCAGGGCTGTCTCCTCTCTGCACACAAACACAGGGCGCCCTACCCCCACAGACCCTAGCAGAGCTTTTGCAGATTCTCAGTATCAGGAGTCTGGAGCCCTGCATTTTCAGTCATGCATGTGAACTCACTTGTGCTAAGGTTCTGTGGGGAGTCTTGGTCAGACTGGCTAAGACTGGAGCTTGAAGTGGAGGTGGCTTTGTCTATGTTCCCTTGTTTCCACAGCTGCCAAATTTTTTTTCTCAGTAAACAATACTGGAAATACTTTTGGACACTTTGAACCTCTCACTGTTTCTCACAGTCTGACCTCCACCTGCAGAAATAAGCTGGGATTCTCTTGCTCCTTTTATATTTCAAATCGCATAGCAATGTCTCCCAGACAAACAAATGCATCAGGCCCTGAAAGGAAAGGGTATTCTAGGAAACATGTCTCTAACTTCTCAGCAAGTTAAGTTTCCAATCTAGAACAGCATGGATTCACAGAATTGGAGCTCAGCAACACTGATCTTATGACAAATGAGACAAATGAGAGTTTCATCCTTGGAGTCGAGGGATTAGCCATAGCAGAAGAGAGTGTTATAGAGATGCTTGCCCCAAGGAAAGGCCAGAGAGATTTACAATGGGTATGTCACTTGCTTTGCATGCAGCCAACTTGGGTTTGATACAGATAATCAAGTATCATCCCCAAGCACTGAACCTAGTAGTGGAGTGATCCCTGAGCGCAGAGCCAGGAGTAAGCCCTAAGCACTGACAGGTGTAGCCCCAAACAAAACAAAAAAAAATTTAAAAGAATATTCTTGATTTCTGCCAAGAGTTGAGCAGAGAGCCAAAAGAGCCAAAATCATATCAAATAATTCCAAAAATAATTATCCATGATCTCTTTCCACTTTACTGAAAACAACTTGTTCCATTGAGAGCTGATATTTTCTATGCTTTTTTCATCTAAGAACCCAGGATCTCAAGTCTCCTAGGATAAAGTTACAATAGAACAAATATGAAGGTCCCTCTTCCCATCCGCTCTGAGATCACATCTGGAAAAATGGCCTCTCTGCACATTTTCTCCTGGGCAAGTCTTGTCTAGCAGACTCAGTTTATGACTCATGGAGCATCTTAATGAATAAAATCCACAAGATTTGATTTCAAAATAATATTGCTGCATTGTAACAGACAGAAAGAAACACAGGAGGGAACTGCTCCTGGCCAGTCTTCAGTTGGCTGGTGCTGGAAGGTTGCTTTTGGTGTCCTGTGATTGCATATTGAGTTCCATGGTAGGAATTCAGAATACATGAGGGTGAATGTGTCCCTCCACAACTGAGATGTCAGTCTTAGTTTATAAAGAAATGTTCACTTGTTGAACAAACATCAGAGCTTGTGTGATACCATAGTCAACTGCTATGGGACTTACACAAATATAGCCTATTCTCCAACCTGGATATGTATAAAGTCAATATATAAATTTCTGATAACTAGGATATTTTAAGGGTTGGAGCGATAGCACAGTTTTTTTTTAATTAATTAAAGGCCCTCCCGTTGATCATCGATTTGCTCGAGCGGGCCCAGTAACGTCTCCATTGGAGACTTTTTGTTGTTACTGTGTTTGGCATATCGAATATGTCACGGGGAGCTTGTGGGTAGTGCATTTGCCTTTCATGCAGCCAACCTGGCCGGCCCAGGTTTTATTCCTCCATCCCTCTTGGAGAGCCTGCACAGCAAAGCCTGGCAAGCTACCCTTGACGTATTCGATATGCCAAACACAGTAACAAGTGTCACAATGGAGACCTTACTGTGCCTGTTTGAGTAAATCGATCAACAAAGGTAGGACAGTGACTGTGACAGGATAGTTTAAGTTATGCATGAAGGTAAAAGGGGCAGAAGAGATGTTTAATATTAGGAATATTGTGTATCCAGGCAATGAGATCAAAAGGTCAGTCCAAGATGAATTTTCCTAAACTATAACAGAACCCAGCAAGGTCGGCTGAGGGGGATTCAAGGATCCATTAATTCAAAAAAATAAATACAAGGGGCTGGAGCGATAGCTTTGGGTAGGGCGTTTGCCTTGCACGCGTCCAACCAGGGTTCGAATCCCAGTATCCCATATGGTTCCCTGAGCACCGCCAGGAGTAATTCCTGAGTACAGAGCGAGGAATGGCCCCTGTGCATCGCCGGGTGTAACCCAAAAACCAAAATAATAATAATAATAATAATAAAATACATACAAAATACATGATTATTCTTCATAGAGTGAACTACCTGATATGTAGAAATGGTTTAAATATATAAAACTGAGCTTTGTTTTTTTTTAATTTATTTATTGGATCACCATGAGAACCGTCACAAAGCCTTTCAGTTCAAGTCTTGGTCGGTCATACAGTGATCAAACACCCATCCCTTCACCAGTGCACATTTTCCACCACCAAGAACCCCAGTATACCCCCTCCCACCCACCCCATCCCCTGTGTGGCAGATTTCCAATTTATTCTCTCTCTCTCTCTCTCTCTCTCTCACACATTCAATATTATGACAAAAGACCCTACATTGTCATTTGGAATTTTCCCCCAACATTCAGAACTGCCACAAAGACATCATCAGAAAATTTGTTTTCTATTGCTGATTATGAAGAGCATGTGATGTCGTGTGGCCACACGAGTTTGGATTTCTGATATTTTAGTAATAAACCTAGAGGGATTACTGCCAGAGCCCCTGGGTTCCAAGATTGGTATATGTGCCTCTGGGATCATGGTCAGTCAGAAGCCGGAAGAGGTGTAAAACTTACCTTTGTAATTGAGAGGTTTGGAGAAGTTTTGGAAGGCAGGAGTCCTAAATGCTCCCAATTGAGAAATTTTAGTTTCATGGTCTGAATGCCTCTGTCTGGTCTCTTTCCATCTAGCATAAGTCTTACAATGATGCAACAATAAATCCCATTAATAAAACATTCCTTTAGAAATCTTTGCCTCATCAGACTTGACAGTGGATGGTGACATGGTCCAAATGGAAAAGCAGAAAAACGATCCTTGAAAGGGAGTAACTTGGGAGTTGGTGAAGAGGGGCTTTGAGGAACTTTCTGCATTTCAATTGGACACATGTAAATCCATCAGGCTGAATTGCAGGCCACTAGGAGGCACCATATACCCACAAAATGCCAGGCACCATAGGAGGAAACTGAAATGTGCTCAAAAGAAAAACAGATTCCAGGGCAGAGAAGGTAGTTGGTTTGGTTTCACTAGAAGATTCTGGAATGTACATGAGCTAACTCAGCCTCCTAAGCCCTGGTAGTGTAAATGCACCTGGAACCTCAGTCAACAGCGGAGAAGCTGGACCAGAAAAGGAGGTAAAAAGAGCCGGAGCAGCAAAATGAGAAACTGAAGTCAGAGAAAGGAGGCCTGAGAATACGGTGCATGGAAGGAAAGGCACCCAAATCATGTAGGAAGAATTCATAGTAGGAAATGATGCCTAGAATCTTATGAAAGGCCAATGGTGCTTCAGACCAAGAAACTGGCTGCATTCAGGGCATATCACAAAGTGACGTTACACAGTGACATCACAGCAGAGGCTCCTATCAGCACCAGGAGGATAGAACTTGGAGCCTGCCCTGTCCTAGGGGCTGTCTGGACCCCGAGGCTGCCATGGGCTCCAGGCTCCTCTGCTGGGTGGCCCTTGGGCTCCTGGGAGCAGGTGAGTCCTGGGCATGGGGGGGGCTGGGTGGTGCTTTGCCAGGCCTGGGAACCCCCTGCCCACCTTGAAAACTGCAGCAGGAGGCGCCCCTGTGTCTGCCCTCAGCCCTTTCTCTCTGCTTCCTAACAGGCCCTGCAGATGCTGAGGTCACTCAAAGTCCCAGATACCTGGTCAAAGCAAGGAGTCAGCCAGTGACCCTGACTTGCAACTATGAGTCTGGGCACCAGTATGTAGCCTGGTACCAGCAGGCCCTGGGAATGAGTCTCGACTTCCTTGTTTCTTACTACGGTGGGCAAGAGAATGAGAGAGGCAGCCTTCCTGTTCGCTTCTCAGTCACACTGTTAAAAAACGACTTCATCACTGAGCTGAGCATAAGCTCCGTGGAAGTGGTCGACTCTGCCCTGTACCTCTGTGCCAGCAGCCTCACAGCCCTGCCTGCTCAGCTGTCTCCTGCACAAAAACATCCCTGGCCAGCCCAGGAAGTGGCAGTGTGAGAGGTTGCCAGCCAGCAGGGTCCAGACTATAAGGACATTCCCTTTATGATGGTATCTGAGGATGGATTTAATTCGCCAGAGTCAAGCAGGAAGAGTGTTTTACCAGTTTATACACATGAGGTAAGGTATCTTTCCCAGGTTCATGTTTCAGGACTGGAGTAAAATAAATCAAACACTTTTGCTATTCCTCAGTAGTCATGTTCCCCTAACCTCCTCCTATTGACAGTTCTCTACCTTGGCTTCCTTTTTACAATTCCGGATTAGCACAACTGGGAACATCTGAATCCTAAGTGGTTTTCTACAACCTCTTCCCTGACAATCTCAAGAAAGATACAACACAGGTAAAGAAGATTCACTGATGCTTAACACCAAAAGAAGCAACAATATATTCTAAGACCTCTCCCTAGGTTTCTCATGCACAGAGACCCTGTGAGCTCCATTCATGGGATCAGGGACAGGTGGATCCCAGATGAACTTTCCAGGTATACAGCAATGTGAATGGAATTTCCATCTGCAATGGAAACAAGTCCATTCTGCACATGAAACAATGTTTATGAGAAGATGCAACATCAATGATTGCATTTGATTCCATAGTGACTGTTCAGTACACATTCGAGGGACCATTTTTTTCTACCATGTAATGCATGATATGAAATAGACAGTGACAGTACATATATTTCCTGACCTAGGCAGTTTTATGGTCTACAATAGCAAGTGTATAATTATTCCCCTCTTGATCTCCATGGTTCACTGGAGACTACTTTTCACACATACAGGTCAATTACTGAGCTGCTAAGTAGCTCCAGGAATATAGTTGCAGTGGATCAAAATAATGTTTTTATGTCTGGTATTGTCCCTCACATATCTGTTCACCTGTCTCAGTGGATCATCTGCTTGTACTACACTTGGCAGGTGACCCTCTCACTGATTTGACATGGCACATATCAAAATGAGTCCTAAAGTGTTGGTTATCAACAGTGAAGTATGTCTGCCACATATCCGCAGCAGGTGGAGGGATCATTACAATGGGGTCCACAAAGCAAATAGAAAATATTGCAGAGTATGTGTGACCTGGGCTTGGTGAGTTGATTGGAGACCCAGAAGGCGACTCACTTTTCCTCAGCATATGAGACGTAAACGCACAAGTTCATCCAATGAATTATGAAAGTTAAACCACATGACTGAATTATGAGCAATTTCCAAACTGTCTCAAAAGAGAAACAGTTAGGAAATATGTCAGTTTTACTATTGGACCAGAGAGATAGTACAGGGAGGAAGGTGCTTGATTTTCATGCAACAACGTCACATACGTCCAATCTCCGAAACTACTTATGATCCCCCAAGTTCTAACTCACAGGGTTGATGAATAGAGAACCAAAAATACACCCAACTAAACTCCCCCCCCCAAAAAATAAAATACCACTCTTTTTTTAAGAACCTCACTTTGACATTATTTTTATTTGACCCATGTGAGAAGGGGAATGTGGCACCCACGAAAGGAAAACAAACACTTCAGAACAACACCTGAGGAGTATGGCTATATCAGCACAGACACAGAATCTCTTTCTCCCCTGCCCTGTCATGAGCAAGGGGCATGAGGATATGATGGCATCTACATCCTTGGGTCAATTCTGTTACACCCAAGTAAACATGACAGGTTGTCTGAGTTAAAATTTTTTTGATAGATTTATAGATGGTCCATTAAGGGTCAGGTGAATGAGACCAGTTGCTGGCCGACTTTGACCGTGAGTGTGGAAAGGTAGGACTACAGCTGAATCTTACAAAGACAATGTTTATGAGAAACAGCCTTGTTCCTGACGCCCCATTCGCTCTCAATGGAACGACCATCTCCGAATGCAACAGCTATGTGTACCTAGGTCGAGAGGTCAACATGAGAAATGACCTGGCACCCGAGCTGCGCAGGAGAAAGAGAGCGGCTTGGAACGCCTTCAAGAACGTCGAAGAAATAGCTAAGAAGACAAGGAACCTCCGGCTCCGGGCACATCTCTTTGATTCCACTGTTCTTCCTGCATTAACATATGCCTCAGAGACCTGGGCCCTACGCAAACAAGATGAGAACGCTATTCATGTCTCCCAAAGAAGAATAGGAAGAGCTATGCTTGGAATATCACGTTTCACTCAAATGAGAGAGAGAATCCGGAGTTCTGACATCCGTCGACGATCAGGAATCAGGGACGCTGTCTCATATGCCAAGGTGTCGAAAATCACATGGGCTGGTCACGTAATGAGATTTAAAGACGACCGCTGGACTAGAGCAGTTACCGACTGGATTCCACGGGATGTCAAAAGACCGCGTGGCCGCCCACCTTCCAGATGGTCAGACTTCTTCATCAAGATCATGAACGATTGGTTTGAGGCCCTTCATGTTCCCGGAGCGAAGAGATGCCATTGGGCTACACTAGCACGCGACAGGGACAAATGGAGACATTACTGGTGCATGCTCGAGCAAATCGACGACTAACGGGAAGTTAAGTGATTAAGTGTGATAGATGATCCATACAGTGACCTGATGATAAACCAAAATCCGTTCACCAGTGATGAGCGGGTGACATATCTGTCTTATGGCATTGTGGGGACAATGTGGTAAAAAGGTCCACCCCATGCACAGACTTGACCCTTTAACTGAAAAGTGTCGACTGCGCAGTGGCCTAAAATATGAGATCACTGAAAGATGGTTTCCCAGGATAATCCTTCCCTCCATGCATCATGCGTTTTTCTAGGAAGAAACTTCCAGCCTCTCTGCTTCCTAAATTAGCTGAGCATCCAGCATCTTCCAAGTTTCCCAGAACGTAACCACAGAACAAATATTCAGCTGTTCAGTAGGTGTAATCAGGATGATGTTTTTGCTAATTTACTAAAACTGGGAGATAAAACTTCAAGTAAAGCACATTTTATTCTCATTTTTCAGGATTGAGGTGTCAACTGGGTCATTCTGCTATTATAGTTTTTGTAGAGGCCACTTCTGGGAGATGTGGGGTCAGTGAGGCAACCCCAAGTTGCTGAACTGCCACCATGTCCACAGGATGCAGATGTGGAGGGCCATGCACCACATCTAGCGTAAGCCAAGAAAGTGCTCTATCTCTTGATCCACTAATAATACATTATCTCTTGATCCACTAACGCAATTAGTTTTGCTACCTAGTTCACCTAGGGCTAGAGTGATAGCACAGCAGATAGGGCATTTGCCTTGCATGAGGCCAACCCAGGTTCGATTTCTTCTTTCCCTCTCGAAGAGCCCAGCAAGCTACCGAACATATCCCGTCTGCAGGGCAGAGACCAGAAAGCTCTCCGTGATGTATTTGATATGCCAGAAACAGTTACAAGTCTCACAATGGAGACGTTACTGGTGCCCGCTCCAGCAAATCAATGAACAACAGGAGAACAGTGCTACAGTGATACAGTGCTACCTAGTTCTTCTAGATAAACTGATGGAAGAGTAATCCTTGATTCAAGAATTTTGAGAGGCAGTAGTTTCCATTGTTTCAGTTCTCAAGTGCCTCATTTAGGATTCAGACTAGATGAGAGTTGAGGCTTCTGGTCCAATAAGCTTAAAAGAAAAGATTCCTTGTCAGGCAGTCAGTGGAACATCTCTGTAAGACTGTGGTCAGCAGGCTTATTTATTTATTTATAATAAATCATGTTCTTTAATGCAAATCAGTGTTATGTAGAGGAATATGATTTTCACAGATAAGACATTTTTTTTCCAGATTTTTACCAGAGGCACCGTGATGGGAAAGAGGTTGCCTACAGTTTTAGGGATGTATACACTGACATTTCTGGGTATGAGTGTCAGTCTATGTACGGCTACCTTGTGGATAGTTCATTTAATTCCTTATTTCTGGAGTTCATAAATATGAGAATAAATTTTAAAAATGTATACAAACATTTATACAAAGGCCACAGACTGAATTTGGCTAACAATTATGCTCAATAGATGGGAGTGTATAAACCTGATTTTGGGGGGGGGCGGCTCTGAATGAGATACCAAATGTTCATCCACTTGATATTTATTGGTGGCCTGAAGCTTCTGGTTTGTCTCACCCATCTCTACTATAGTAATAACTCATCAGTGGAATGCTGGTTTGGACAATCGTTTCCCTCCACTGGCTAAAGCTGTATTTGAAAACCAATCTCAATTCAACAGACCATCACTTGTATCACTTGTCATCCCATTGATCATAGGTTTGCTCTAGTGGGTGGCAGTAACGTCTCCATTCATCCCTGTTGCATGCTAGTGTAGCCCAGTGTGTCTGCCAGCATCCTGGAAGGTGAAACAGTGATCCAGGAAATAAGAGACAGCATGGATGTCATTACAGCGATTCTGTCCTAGAAGGTGGCTCTGGTGACACTCCCACAGCCCAAGGCAGCACAGAGGCACCTGGGGCCTCAGTCTGCACTTGGAGGCCAAGGTCCAACCACACAGGAAGTAGAGGCAGACGCTGGGGTAACCGGGAGAGTACTGGGGTAACAGACACAGGCAGAGGAGAGCAAGGTGCATGAGAGCATCCGAGGACAGTTCTCCAGTGCTTTACTGAGGGACCCCATAAGCAGGAAATGCCACAGAGACAATCGATACTGAGACCAGTGACCCTGGGCCAAAGAATAGCCTGCAGACAGGGGAACATCACACAGTGACATCACAGCAGAGGTTCCTATTAGAACCAAGAGGACAGAGCTTGGAGCGTGCCCTGCCCTAGGGGCTGTCTGGGCCCTGAGGCTGCTATGAGCACCAGGCTTCTCTGCTGGGTGGCCCTTGGTCTCCTGGGAACAGGTGAGTTCTGGGCATGTGGGGGGGTGGTGAACTGTGCTTCGCCAGACCTGGGAACCCTCTGCCCACCAAGAGGGATGCAGCAGGAAGTGCCCCTGTGTCTGCCTCAACCCTTTCCCTCTGCTCCCCAACAGGCACTGTGGATGCTGAGGTCACTCAAAGCCCCAGATACCTGGTAAAAACAAGGAGTCAGTCAGTGACCCTGAGATGC